TTCCCACGAGTTATTATGTTGTGGCCACGACAACACTACTGGCTCTTTTCCACTGCATGGCACGGCTCGGTACGGTTCACTTTTGACACTGAAGAGGGACTTCAGGAGCCTGATCGAGACGGTGCGCCGCACATCGCCCGCGACGACGATCTGAGCGGAATATTAACGGAGCGCTTGCTTGGGCGGTTAGAGCGACTGAGTGGAGCGCACATCCATAGAGCGGAAAACGTAGCGGAGCGTCACACCTCTCCTCTTCGCTCACATGCTCTGTCTTGGATGCCCTGGGGGTAAGCAGATAAACATCACATTTTCATTTTTGGGTGAACTATCCCTTTAAACTGAAGTCATATCCAGCAAAGTTGGCGCTCCAGTCCAGCAGGGGGCGGAAGTGCGTCATATGTTGCTGGGACGGAAGTAGAGCAGTGTTTTCTTTCTGCCGCTGCGTGATTAACGTGTTTCAGGTCGGTTGTGTGATTTTCTGGCATAATCTGCTTTAAGATTTTGTGACCGTCTGATATACGTTATCGTATCTCTTTATTTTGTACCGGACGGTTAAAACGATTTAAATTTTACAGAGAAAGGAGCAGAACATTATGTTGTAATACCTCAAATCCAGCAGCTAAACGTATGATTAAATAAAGGTGATTTATATTCCCCTGCTTTCACAGACAAGGCTTAAACCTAGTCCTAGACTAAAATGTAAGTCTGAGCTGTTTCAGCTGAAAGAAACTTGCACTGACTGATCTTAAAATAGATCAGTGCCATTGTTTTGTCTCAAGATGCACATCAGTAAGCCTTAGTCTAAGCCCTGTCTGTGAAACCAGGCCATTATGTACTATAGTATCCCTTACGAAAATTAACCATGGTTTTATTATAGCAAAATTGTAGTAACCAGTTGTTGTTGTTTTTTTGGCGTGTTGACTACCATTTGTATAACCACAGTTTTATTACACATGCCATGGTTAAACTATGGCTAGTGTTTCAAAACCATGGTTAATTTGTGGTTACCATGGTTTAACTATAGTAACATGGTTTTTGGTTGTATTTGTAGTAAAACCGTGGTTAATTTTCGTTCAGGAATTTCCGTTACTGTAAGAAAGCAAAAGTCACGTTTATAACATTATTATGGTTTCTTGAGCACTTGTCTCTAAGGTTAATTGTTCCTAGTAAAACTAGATTTAAGCAGTTTTGTTTTGTAAAGGTTTTGTATTTGAAACGTTTTATCAAATACTTTTATTTTTTATTTTTTTATGTGTAAGATTTGACTGTTGTACCATTATCCCAGACATTCTGTCAAACACCATAAAACATTATTGTAAATATTCTTGGAACTAAGAATCAGTAACGTATTGACTGGCCATTTGAAGGCAGTTACTTTTACTAAATTATGTTAATATATAGAAAGTTTGTTGACATTGTCAGTTGTTAAATATACAATATACAGTTAATTATGATCAAATATTTGACCATTCACTAATAAACATTTTAGTTTTTGTGTAAAAATGATATATTGAAGACTAAGATATGTCATATTTAAATTAAGGCAATCTGAAGAAACACTAATCATATGTAAATGGTTTTATCAGTCCATTATAAATGCGTCTTTAATAATCGTGAAGTGTTTGTGTTCAGATGTTGAGCATGAAAGCGCAGGTGGATGTGGTCTGCTGTAAATCAGTAGGAACTGATCTGTCCATGCTGGATATTGAGGATTTCATCACAGAAATCTGTCAGCTGAAGAAAGAGGTGGCTTCACTGGAGGCAAAGCTGAGAGAAAGAGGAGACAAACTGAACAGAGAGGTTTGAACAGCTCTTCATTTCATC